CCCCCCCCCTCCCCCCCGTGTCCCCTCGCTTCCCCTCGCTCCGTACCTGCGAGCCTGAGCGCAGACATCCTCTGAAATTCGGGTTCCTGCAACCATTTCCACATCCTCCGGAAAGTCTCCCGACCCGATTTAAGCTTACTCCACGGTTTTGGGTTCCTCAGCAGATCCGAGAGGGTTCCCTGCGAACGGCACAAGATCCTCTGAGCGAAGATCGCCTGCGGGATGCTGTAACGTTTCAGCTCGGCCGTGATCCTTTGTGCCACCTCTTTGGTGTTGATTTCCTCAACCTGCCCCGATCCTCCGCTTTGAGATCCGCTGGCCGAGGCCTGACGATCCCTTTCTGCCAGCAAAGAACCGCCGGCTTGGGGATGCGGGTGACCGTGAGGATGCATCCCGTTGAGGGGCGGCATCATAGCCGAGCTGGGGGCTCCCAACCCCCTCGCCAGGTGCTCCTCGCCCCGGGACAGCATCGCGGCGTGAGAATCGAAGCCGTTGGGTGACAGCATCTTGTCGTTGGGCAAGTGGCCGCCAGGACCGTACGGAGTCAGAGGCTGCTGAGCGTTGTGCAGGCTGCCCAGCCCGTTGGGGAGAGGAGAGAGGGGCTGCCCCATAGCCGGCATGTCCTTGGGGTAGTGGCTGTAGAGGTTGCCCATGGAAGCGAGGCTGCGTTCGTCCCTCATCAGGGTGAAGCTGCCGCTCACGTTGCCGGCCAGGCGTTGGTGCGGATGGTGGTGATGGTGATGATGGTGGTGAGGGTGGTGGAACTTCTCGGACACGGTGGAGATGGGCGGCAGGTGCTGCAGGGGGGTGAGCGTGGTGTAGGTGCTGCTCAGGCTCATCCCGGACGGCGACTCGCAGGACATGCTCATGGCCGGGTGCAGAGGGGCCGTCAGGCTGTGCTCGGTTCGGTAATCTCCCCCTTCCAGGATGGATGCCATACCCGACACCATAGCCGGCCGGCCGTGCGGGACCAGGTTGCGGTGCGAGCTCTGCCTCCCGTGTGCGGGGCTCAGCAGCTCCGCGGGCTGCGAGTGCGGGACGCCGTGCAGGCTGCCCAGGTTCTCCATCGCCAGCTCCATGGTGGCTCTGCCGCTGCCTGTTCGCTCGCTGCCTTCCTCCCCCACCCCCCTCCTCCTCCTCCTCCTCCTCCTCCTCCTCTTCCTCCTCCTCCTCCACCACCCTCCCTCCCTTCCCCTTTTCCCCGGATTAATTCAGACTCCTCGTTTCGGGGATCGATCTCTCTCTCCCTCTCTTCTCTCTCTCTCTCTCTGTCTCTTCTCCCCCCGCGTTCAGATCAGCATGATGAGCCGCGCCCGACCGCCTTCCCCCAGCGCGGTGCGGTGCTGCGCGGAGCCGGGAGCGGTGCGGGGAGCGGTGCGGAGCGGAGCGGGGCGGTGCGGGGCGGTGCGGGGCGGTGAGCTCGGGGCGGCTGCGGCGCCGGCTCCCGGCAGCCTCGCTCAGGGCCGCGGCGTGACGTCAGCACCGCCCCGCCTCCCCCCCTCCGTGCCCCCCCCCCGCCCTACAGCCACCCCCCCTCCTCACCGCATCGGGGAGGGATGGAATTTTAGGGGGGGGGGGGGGGGGGGGGGGGGGG